ATGCCTGGTTTTTGCACCCTTTTGTCCCAGAGAATTCTTAGAGCCCTCTCTTGTTCCTGCATTTGACATCAGATGAAATTTTTGCAGGGCTCTAATTTTTGAGGGCAAGAGCAGAAGTCTCTGAGCCAAACCCTGGTTCTGCCGTGGTCCAGCCCAGCCAGGGCTGTGGAAAGTGCCCTGAGCAGAGTGACCCTGGCCACACACAGAAACCAGAGAAGGCCATCTACAAACCTAAACACAAAAAAGTACTCACTAAGTGAATTTAAACACCTCCTCCAGCAGCAGCCACTGACTGGGATTTGTGTATTTTTGTTACAGCCAAATCCTACACTGGGTACTTATAGATAATAGTGTTTGAAATGAGCTCAGGATGGGAAGAGCCAGTTTCCAGAAGGAAAAATCTCTGTGGTCAGGCTGCTTCAAGGCATGAGGCCACTTGGACAGTGAGCTATGTCTCCCATGGAAACTGGGTGAAGGAGCAGCTAAGGCTCTCCACCTTAACCCCACACTTAAGCTGAAGGTACTGAGATACTCAATTCCAAGTCTATTACCTGAGGGCCTTTATGTGTGGAAAGATAAAAACTTAAATGTGATATTTAGCATTTTATTTTACTGATGTGTTAAAAAAAAAGGCACCTTTTGCCTACATTTAAACTGTAAATTAAAACTTTTTTATCTCTACCTGGTGGGGAATGCTGAATGACAATTTTAAAAAGGTTTCCAGTTTGAATTTTGCTCAGTTCTTCAGGCTGGGTATGATTGGAATTACAGTATTATGTTGTGTTATGACATAACTTGATGATGTCTTGCTTGGAAGTGTTAGCAACATAACTAGTTCACTATAAAAATGCAAACCTGATTTTATTTACTTCATTATTCACAAAAAAAGGGAGGAGTTTCATTAGAACTCACCTATACATAAGTCTGCTAAAACCTTTTCAAAGTACACAGAGAGTTTAATTCTCTTTCCAAAATGACTAAGAGCTCCTACAGAAGAGCCCTCTTACGACTACCTGGGAAGAACATTACATCCATAGTGGAAAAGAACATCACTTCTTAAAGAGGTAATTCATCATGCCACCTGCTACCATGTCCCCATGCTTCATAACTTATTTTTATTGACCAAGGACAATGCAGGGAAAGAAAAATGCAGTAGAGATGTATTAAACATTTAAAAAGTCTAATAAAATAGAAAAAAATCTTCCCATTAAACAGTTATTGATAACTTCTCCTCTTGGAGGACAGCATGATGTAGGGAACACCATTACTTGACTTCAGAGATAATGCAGAAGGCAGCCATCTGATGCTGTAAGCCAGACCCTCCTTAAGCACTTGCTGAGGAAATAGATGGGCCTGTTTGCTAGACAGTGAAATCACAGACTGAGCTTTCTTTTCCCTCTCTCTGGGGGGAGTTGCCAGCACACCCAAGGGAAGGTCTGGTGCCAGCTCTAAGGGGGCACTTCTGGATGCCTGCTTGGGTAATCCTGCCTTGGCTGCAGCAAGGGTACAAGAGGCATCTGGAGACAGGGCAGCAGAGAGGCCAACAAACAGCAAGGCTTTCTGCACGTTTTACAGAGCTGCCAGGCTTCTCACACAATGAATCATGTCCAGGTACAGGTGTGTCTAAGGTCCAAAATCCCAACAGCAGGTGTGACAAGAGGGATTTACAAACTGTCAGAAGCTCACCATGCCCAGACTCGTGGCTAAGCAATGGGACTGGCCCAAAGATGCCTGTGCAAGTGTTCAGGTTCCTGTCCAGCCCCACTGGAATTAATCTTGCCCTTTCTGCTATGCCTTCCCAGCTGGCCCCTGAGGCCCCTTGGCCAGCTGCCTTCCCACCCTCTGTGCAGAGCATTTGCCACAGCTGAGCCTCTCTTGATCCAGGGCCACAAAGTCTCCTACAGCTTCTCGAGTCCAATATTGGATTCCTGAGCCTTTCCACAGGCTCCTTTGTAACTCTGCCTCTAAGGATGGCCTTTATATCTTGCCATACTGCTGCAAAGAATAATATTGGTTATAATTTGGCCTTACACTTACCAGATTATCCGACCTTTTAGAAATAGACTTTTTATATAAGTACAGCCAGCAGTTTAAAAAATATCAGCATAGTCTGGTGACTCAAGTGGTTGGTTCAAAGCACACTGGGCAGAGCCAGTCTCTCTGTACCACATGGCGGCTTTGCCATCTTATTATTGCCTCTCTTGGGTCTCTCATCCAGGTCTGATTTCCAAGGCTAGATTGAGAAGGTCATTTGTAGTCTCAGTCTTCTAGCACTAGATAATATTGACATGGAGTTGACTGATTTAAAATCAAAAATATGATAGTGGTTCTTGTTCCTTGGTGATCTATATATCTGTGGAAGATTATGATGGCCATTGCTTCCAACTACAACTCAAAAAGTACCTTACAGATATGCCATGAGTATTTCCTTGCTTCTTTAATGGTGATTAGAGGGAGCATAATTTAATTGATGTAACAGTGGTTTATTGGAATAATGTAATCTCAGTAGATACATAGCTCGAATAAAACACTTTAGGATTCTTCTTTTATTGTGTATTTCCTCATCCCTTTGTTATCATTCCAGTGAAGAGTAAATATAATTATCAAATTTATGCCTAATGCCACTGGGTATAAATCTAAATAAGTGCTTTCAACTCCACCCTGTCGGATTCTCGGCTGTTTAGATGGCCTGGAAAGGCCTGGGGTGGCCTTGGACAGCCCGCGCTTCAAAGGACGAGAAGGGACTTCAGATATTTTCTCGGTCTCGGTGTTTATTAATTGTTTATCTAAAAGATTTTCCCTCTGCCCGACAGAGGTCTGCTCAGCAGTCAGCCATGAGCACACACTGAGAGCCTCTGGGGCGGTCACCTATCTTTATACTCAAAGTTATGTATACAATATTTATCACTTTTCCCCAATACCTTCTATCCTTATTAACCAGTGCACTTTTAGTAATAACCAATCCCAAAGTGCCAACATCACCACAGAAGATGGAGGCCAAGAAGAAGAAGAAGAAGAAGAAGAAGAACAGGACACGCCCCAATTCCTCCATCTTACTTCTTTAGACCCCCCTGTACAGAAATCTTAAATCCTGTGTTTCACTTTAACTAACTTATCCCTTCACCATTCACCCCAGTGAAATCCTCCTATCCTCATACAGATGTCATCTCCTGTGTAGGATCAAAGTCCAGCCACCAGACACTTCTGGCAACATTCCAGGACTCCCGAGCCCCCCAGGGGTGGTCTCGGTCACTCTGCACCTCAGTCCTGAGGTGCTGAGATCCCACACCACCCAAGTATAAAGAACAAAAAGGGGGAAAAAACCAAATCAGTATTGCCTCAGTTTTGCCAGTATAGGAGTCTCTCAACTTATACTGCTAAAATTAAACTAGTTGTGAAATAGCATAAACTTATATATATATACCTATATATATATTTATCCTATTTCACAACTATATATATAATATATATATTTTTATATATATATCTACCTATATATATACACCATATATATATATATATGTATGTATGTATGTATCCTGCTAAAATTAAACTTAGTTGTGAAAAAGCATGCCTGGAAGGTAAGTATTGAGCTACACTGCAAACCCCTTTAAATATTTCATTAACTACAAGAACCTTAATACATGCTCTAATAGATATATAAAAATACTTTTTTCCCCTCAAAAATAATAAATAAAAAATAAGTACTGCTATCAGATAATGAAGATTTGAATATATGCAACTCAGGATAGCTTAAAGTGCTCTGGCTTGTTGTTTTCTCAAGTTTTAAAAGAATCACATACATTTTTGAAATAATTGATTCTTCCCTGGCAAACATGGAAATAAAAAAAAAAAAAACAAACAAAAAACAAACAAAAAAAACCCCACACCCTTTGGGAAAGCAAGTTCTCAGAAGTGTTGATCCCTTTACCTAGAGCAGGACAGGTTGCTCTGTCCTTTGACTCCTGGAGAAGATGCTCCCAGTGCCCTGCCCTGCATCACCCTGCTGCATGATGAGCGGGCCAGCCTGCCCTGGGACCTCAGAGCTGGCCCCACACACCCGGGCTTCTCCGCCCTTACTACTCAGAACATGTTATTGCTTATGCTCCAGTTCCTGACAAATAGCTCCTGTAGTAACAGGAATTGCGCATTTAATAGGCTGTGGGTTTTTCTGTCTTAACAACTTGTAAATCTGCCTCCTCCTCCTCCCCCGTCAATAAACTCCCTCTCCCCGAGACACAAAGTAGTGACCAGAACAAGTGCGTGGCCAGCTCACTGAAATGCTCCAGGCAGTGACACCTCTGTGCTCCTGGAGAGGCATTCGCTGCCCCCGAAAAGAAGTAAATGAAAACCGGGCATGAACGGTGCGCCAGCCTGGTGATGAAGGCGACCCTGCAGGCGTCCTTCTCCCTTCTGAAGAAACACCTTGCTGGGGTGAGTAGGTGAAAGAGAAGAGAACTGTAATTTCCTTTATTCCAAACCCGAGTTGCAGACAGTTTAACGCCAGACAGCCGCGCCAGGAGCGGCAGGTATTCCCTGTCCGTCCATCCCGGCACCTGGGCTGCGCCTGCAGCGGGTTTTAGGGTGCTCAGGTTCAGAGTTCTGCCGTCCCCGAGGGCTCCCCGCCGTCGGCTGCCCCGGCCTCTCCCGTACCCGCCCCGAGGGCTTCGGCGTCCACCGGCGGCGCGGGAGCCCCGAGGGAGCCCCGGGGAGCGGGGCCGGGCCGGGGAGCGCGGCCGCCGCCTCAGGAGAGGGCGTGCGGGACGGGCGGCAGCTCCCGCCGCCGCGGCTGCCCCGGCCCCGCCCGGCCCGGCCCCGCTCCCCGGAGTTCTCCCGGAGCTCTCCAGGGGCTCTCCCGAGGCTGCCCCGCGCCCTCAGCCCCGGGCCCGGCGGAGGCGCCTGCGCGCTGCGGCCGCTCGGTGCCGGCCCCGCTGGCGCCGCCCGCAGCTCCCGCGGCTCCTCTGCCTATTTTAGTCACAGCCGCGGCTCCGTGCCCGCCGCGGGACGCGGGGCCGCCGGCGGCGACAAGCGGCAGCCCGAGCCCGTCCCGTCCGGGCTGCCCGGAAACTTTCCCGGAGTGCGGGGCAGGTAAGCGGCGCGGGCAGGGCGGGGGCCGAGCCGGACCGAGCCGGGGCGGGCAGAAGCCTCGGCGCTGCCTCCGCCCGCCCCCCGCCGGCGCTGTCCAGCCCGGCAGCGCTCGGAGCGCCGCCCGCGCTGCCCGGAGCCAGCGGGGCCGAGCGGGGCCGGGGGCGCCTCAGGCACCGCCGCGCTCCGGGACGGCCGCGCCGAGGCAGGGGCGGCGGCGGAGCGGCGGTGCCGGGAGGGCTGCCCGCCCGCCCCGGGATTCGAGCAGGGTTACCAGGGGTCACTGTCCCGGGAGGGAAGCCCTCCCTCCCGGCGGGGGTAACCGGAGCTCCCGAGCCAGCCCTGGCTGAAGTTGGAGAGCTCTGTCCCCTCTGGAGAGGAGCGGGCTCGCTGCCCAGCGCTGCTCCTCGCCGGGGCTCGCTCTGCAGTGGGACTCTCAGCTGTGTGTCCCATGTCAGGGTTTGTCCCGTAGGACAGCCGGGTTTCTGATTCTGCCCGGGTGCTGCCGCTCATGACAGAAGAGCTGGCTCGGGAGTATCTCTACTTGTCACACAACCACCTCGGGATCCGGGGATTTCTTCCTGCGGCTGGGGCTTTGCCACGTAGCCTGGCGTTATTTGATTCTTCTCTCTCTCCATCAATTAATGGTAAGAGCAGATGAACCCTGGAATCGCATTTGCAGTTGCTCCTTTCTGAAGATAGAACGAGCGACACAAAGCACTTCCCTTCCCCAAACTACAGTTTCTTTTTGCCAAACATATTCTTCCAAACTCTAATATTTTATCACATATTCTTCATCTGTTCTATAAATCTTTGTGTACCTTTAGACTGTCAATCACTTTATGGGCAAATATTTTATGTAGCAGATCTATTGTAATACTGAATCACAGACTACCTGATAGTGTTACAGAAATGTCATTGATGAAACATGGGTTCCAGAGCTAGGGCTTCTTGCTAACTTTGTTGTTTGATGGGAATATGATTGTACACATACAAGTTTAAATGTCTTCATTGACCACAGCAAAACAAGTGATTGTTTCCACTTCTGCAGAACTGGTCCTGTTCAAGCTTTCCACAAAATTCTGTGTGGTGCCAAATAATAAAGTGGCTTAAAATGTCAAGGTTTAAAGAAATGTCTTGCCTGCAAAATAGTAAGTACAGTGCAAGTCCTCTAGTGAAACAACAAAATGGTAACTGTGGCCAGTTATGGTTCTTGACAAAGACTTTGCCTTCACAGATATCTTAAAGCTCTTATGATACAAGTTGAGAACAGATAGTTTATTAAAGATTCAAGAAAAGCATTAACTGAAGCTACATTTGATCTTTTTATTAAGTGTGTGGGCTCTTCAGAGAGGAGATTTTATTTTGTCCTTTGAGTGTGTTCCCCTACTTTGCAAAGAAGAGCTCTGGTCAGAGTCTCCAGATGATGACAGACAACCTGTGTTTGTGTGTTTGGGCTCGTGGCTCATGGCACATCCCTGTAAGCCAGGTGTACGTGCAGGTGTGGTGTGGTGAGCCAAGCTCTTCTTTGGGAAATGAAGTCCATGTCAGGTGGCTGGTTTCATGGGAATACATTCCCAGTGAAAGGCACTCCTGCACCACACAAACTCATCTGAGTGGAATGCTGCAGAGTTCAGCTGCAGTTCATTAACCCACTTTTAAAGCACTTGTGAAATGTGCCTTGTGGCTGCTCTCTCCACTATTAATTTAAAAGTTGAACTGGAGAGAAGCTTGAACTTGTACTTTCTTTCATGTTTTATTCTAAAACACAAAAAACCAGACAACCTCCATTGCTTTTTGGTAATGCCATTCAATATTCAAGAGCCTTGCTCAAATTTATTCAAGTGCTTGTGGTCTTAAAAAAAAAGTCTGATTGCCAATCAGGCATTCTAGGAGTAAAAGGGCTTAAAAAATGAGAGAGGAGATTCTACTTCTTAATTTGGTGGGAGTACCACATCTACTTATGGTTCATTAATTCTGATTCAAATTGAAAGAAATATGTATTTTTTTCATTTCAGCTACTGTCTAGGTTATAAAATAGACAGCATCTTCAACATTGGCTTGCAACCACAGAGGGTTGCATTGTGTATTTTACAGTGATAAATGAGGAATTGTTGAAGTACTGGAGTTAGCTGGTCTTTTAAATAATTAAAGATTAAATAATACCAGTTTCACTGTATGCAGTGCTCCTAATGAGCCTCAAACTGTTCTTTCTGTATTATTGTGGGGTTTCTTCTCTCAAGGCCTCCCCCTGCCCAGGTTTTTTCCACTTCCTAGAATGATTAGTAGGAATTTAAGCAAATTGTAGGCAGAATCAGGCTTTCCCAGCTGCACCCAAAGCAGCTCAGTGAGGGGAAAGTCCCATAAACATCTCCTGTTGAAGAGCTGTACTTTGGAGACAGCAGCTCTGCATCTGCTGCACCCGGGAGATGCAGACAGGCCCAGCTTGGTGAGGAGGACAAGCAATCGCTGTCCTGGTGCCATTTGGTGGGGTCTGTGTGTGGAGTGCTGACCTCAGTGCAGAGGTGGCATTGGGGTGTCTGCAGGGCTGGGCAGCAGCTGGCTGAAGGGGCTGCTTGGTTGGACAGCCTTAAGCATGGTAGCCTGAATTCTGCCCGAGCAGAGCAAGGCTTTGGCCCTGGGTGTGGGAGCCCAGGAATTCCTCTGGCTGCCCTGGGGGCTCAGAGACCTTGGCACGGAGCCCGAGACCCCTGTGCCTTTGATTTAGCCCTTGGAAAAAACAATTACCAACCTTTATATGAAGAATTACAAGTCAAGAAAGTTTAAGTAGAATAACAGTTAGTTTGTCATGGGGTGAAAAATAGATTTTTGAGGTTTTTAGAATGGGGCTTCCCAAGATGGAGGAATTTGAGTGTGCCTTGTCCTTTTTCCTTCTTCTTCCTAGCCTCCATCTTCTGGGTGATGTTGGCATTTTCAGATTGGTTTAGAGTAGAAGCTCACTGTCTAACATAGGTGATAGGTATTGGGAAGTTATGGTAAATAATGTACATGTAGTTTTTAGTATAAAAACACAACGCTGCCTCTGAGGCAGGCAGTGTGCCTCAACCCGACCTGCCAGACAGACCTGCGGCGGGTCAGAGAAAGGATGTTATAGATGAGAAATAATAAACAACCTTGAGAACGAGAACAGAAAAATCCTGACTCCTCCATCAACTGCTGGGCTGGGAAAAAGAGGCTTGTACATATCTCAGAGTCACTCTGAGCAGCAGAGATTCTGAGACCTGGGAAGTCCTGCTGGGCTGCTGGTCGTGTCTCAGAGCTGCCCTGAAGGCAGTGAAGCCCCTCTGCTGGCTGCACATGCCCCAGCTGCCTGTTTTGCAGCTCTGAGCATTCCCAGAAGGAAGGATTACTGTCTGGGGAGTGTCACATCACATGGATGATCTCATGTGGCAGCTCCAGTTTGGGAATTGCAGCCCAGGCGGGCTGGAAGGACTGGGCAGAGTGTGGTCTGACTGCTCTTCCTAAGGCCTGAGACACTTCACCTTCCATGGGACAGCCTCTGTCAGAGCCTGATCCTGTGGGTGAGGCAGCAATGAGACATGAATGGGACACGGGATGCCTGCCCCAACCAAGGGAGTGCTAATCCATCTTCTCTCCTCCCCTGAGGCTGCTCCCAGTGACTCATTTTGACTCGTGTGGGTGGGTCACTTGCTGCCCTTCTTGTTGCAGCTGTGGTGTTGTACAGGAGGGACACAGAACTGCACTGCAGTCCCTCTTCACTCTGCCATGAGTGCTGGGAAGAATGAAAGTTTGATAAGAAAGTCTCACAGATATGTATGCTTGGCAGAAAGTTTTTTGAATGTAGAATCTGAAGAAGGAATAAAAATGAAAGCAAGTTTTGATATAGATGAAAAGAATTGCTGAGCCAGTCTTACTGGATAAGCAAGGAGGGAAAGGTTATGTTAGTTAGAAGGGGTTTTTGTGACTTAGAGCAAAGGATAAACCCACCTCAAACAGAATAATTTTTTACCAAGCAGAGAGCACAGGCAAACAAGCCTGCTGACGTTGCTAGTAGAAAACAGGTCTCAAAATTTTCCACTGCAAGAAAACTGAAAAACAATTTCTGGCTTAAACTACAATGTACTAACTTTTAGTGATTGGAGAATAGAAACATGAATATGGTAATTATAGCACTTATGATAGGCTATAGATAAAAGTTAAGGTACAGATTGGTTCTTCTGTATTAAGATGCTCAGCAAAGAAAAGTATAGAATGATTTGTGACCTAAACTAAGGGTCTCCAGGCCTGCCTGCAGCTGGGGCTGACAGCTGTAGGCACAGGCTCTGTCACCCACAACCCTGGACTGCTGTAATGTCTTGGATGGAATAAACTGCATTTTGAAGAGCCTCCTGAAATCCCACATCTCTCTTTCAGACTCTTACTCATGAGGATGCTCACCCAGGGAGTGGATCCTGAGGCTTGGTTGCTCAGGTTGCAGACAGGCTCCAAGGTAAAGCATTCACATCCCTTTCTTTGAAAACCATTCACAGGAAGGGATGCTGGCTCCACATAGATGAAGATTTCATCTATAATGTCTACAGGAGGAATAATTTCAGAGATACACCTGTCTTCAGTGTTTTCTGTTGTCTAAAGTAGCTCTTAGTTGGTATCTGAGATAGGCTTCTGGATTTTTCTGGGAAGACCAGCTCCAAAACTTTCTAGGTATAAACAACTTTTTTATATCAAGTAACTCAAGACAAAAGTCCAGGAAACATTGCTGCGATCATCTAATGTGATTTCCTGTAGCATAAAAAATAGAATTGTAGTAAATATTTTTTTTAATAGTATACCCATACTTATTTTAGGGACCAGACAGCATCTTAACTTCTTTAATTCCTAGCAAAGGAAATCTTTAAAGCCATCCTACTAGTTAATTACCTTTGCTATGTATGCTTGTGTGTCTTTGAAATCTGAATATTTCTAGTTTTATAGTGACTGGTTATCTTGATACTGTTGTCTTTTAGATTGGGTAGTCCTTTTCTTCCTCACCTTCCTGCCACCTTCCTGCAGGCTGCATTTTGTTGTGTTTTCCAGTATTGTAATTACAGCTTTCTCTAGGATATAGTCTCAAGAAGTTTAAGGTAATGTAGCTTGGGTTGTTAGTTGCTGCCCTTACTGCTGCATGCATCTTCTCAGCCTGAAGTGTCCAGGGACAGTGGATCACTGAACACAGCAGGTTTACCTGCCCATGCTTGCCTGGAGGCACACAGCCTTAGGTTTCTCTACATGCAGAGCTCCTCTGTGCCCTGAGTTAGATGCTGCATTTCACTTAAGAGTTTGGCTCTCTTGGTCCCTGGGGTGTCTGGCCCCACTGCAGGAGGACAGTAGCTTGGGGAAAGTATGCAGCACAAACAGGGACTGGCAGTGATAGGTGTCAGTAGGAGCCACAGAGGGGATTCCAGGGATATGGGGCAGTTGAAGGAAGGGGTATCTCAATTGACATCTGCCTTTACATTGCATGTGAAACTACAACTACTTGATGAAATTAAGGAGAAGTTTCTTTTTATAATCTAAATTTGTTAGACCAGATGTAATTTGTGAGCCTAGAGAGGGTGCTTGGAGCTCATCCCTGTGGAAGTGGGGGATGTCTAGGCCAGGAGGATCTCCCCTGGCTGGAGGGACTGCCTTGGCCCCGGTGGAGTTGCTGGAATGTTGAGCCAGGCTGTGACTCCCAGCTCATGTATAAACATACACACTGGGGTGTGCTAAACCCATCATAATCTCATTTGATGCTAAGAAGTGCACATGCTGTAAAGGAAAATCTTTCCTTTTGCTTCCAAACCTGTAGCAAACAATTCAGCCAGGCTGGTTACACAATTAGCATGTACAGCTCTATGGCCTGTCCACATGTGCAGTGTGAAAGTGCTGAGGGCTTTCAGAGGACTTGGGATAAGGCAACTGAAGAATGGACTATTCAAACTCTGAATAGCTTTACTTTTGACTTAATTAAAAAAGATCTGCTGGTGGCCTCAGGGCTTTTAGGGGTTTCTTTTTTGCAGGAATTATTGTGATCCAGACACAGTAACTAACACTCAGAGCTTCTCAGAGTTGAATTTGAATCATCAGTGATAAAAATGGGGTAAAGCACATGGTTCTCAAGCAAATTAAAAAGGTACATAATAGGTAATTCTTTGTGTGAACACTGCAGTGTAGGGGGGAAACACCCATTTGAGGAGGGGGAAGGTTGTAATGTGCATTTGTACAATGTAAATTCTTTCTGTTTTGACTGGTTCAGTGTTCTGTTTATATGAAATTTTAGGTTGCCAGCAGGTATTTATTTGGTAGCATATAAGTGAAATACTTCATTTTCTGCTTTGAAACTCCAGCAAACACCACTTTCTGATGGCAACTCAGTCCTCCCAGCACTGCTGCTTGTTTTAAAGAAGTCCATGCCAGTGTGTATTGCTCACACCTCTAGCCTGCACTGATTTTTCACATCACTTCATCTGCTCCTGCTGGAGAAGGTGGGATGTGGTGGGGCAGGACACTCTGAAGCATGTCAGTAATTCAGGCTGCGTTGGCAGGGCACATCTCCTTCCCCAGCTGGAGGACTCATCGTGCAGGCTGCTCAGGTTTTGGCAGCCTGCAGATGTCAATGTGTGTCACTGTGATCATGGCAGGGATGTGCTGTGCACGCTGCTCCTTCCCCATGGGCAGGGCATGGAGCAGAAAGTGCTCAGTGTTTGCTTGGCAGGACACAGTGCTTCGGCTTTAGCAGCCAAGGCTCGTGTTTTAAATGCAGTTTCCTGCTTGCTGGAGCATCCCCATCAGATGAACTTGTAGCAAGAGCTGTTCAGCACAGCCAGGGCAATCGAAGCAGGACATCCAACAAAGCAGGAGGCCAAAGCACCTCAGTGACAGGATGGTGTCCCCTCAAGGTGCTCACAAATGTGATGTTGTGTGCTGTGCAGGATGACTCAGTTGGTATCACAGCTGCTTGGTTTTTTGGTTTGGGGGATTTTTCTCCCCCACAACCTCACTTGCAGTAGTTGAATGGCTTTATTTGGCGTGTCTGTTCTGAAACCTTCGAGAGTTCAAATTTTGGACTTGCCGGAACTATAAAGAAAAATGTGAAAGGCCTCATCTAGCACTAAATATCCTTCAAAACTGGAAATTTTACTAAACTTATAGCTGCTATTGTCCCTGCTCTATTTACAACTGCCAATGACTTTCAGCTCCCAAACATTAGAATAATTTCTTATTTGAGAAGAGCTGCATTCTGTCTTTCTGCCTGCAAGCATGCCTGCTCTTCAGCATAGCTCTGAGAAATGAGTCTCATTTAGGAGTGGGTTTTGTCAGTATTTCCAGAGGGTTTGGTTTCTCCTGCACACCTTGTGAGGCTCAGGAGAGTGTTGAGTTGGTAAGGCTGTGCTCTGGGCTAGCACTGGCCTCCCTCCTTTGCCCTTCCTCTTGCCTGGAAGGAGAGAGGCCCTCTCCAGTCTGGGAGATGCTGCAGCACAGTAAAAGTTTTCATTGTGTAGAACTAATTGAATAAGTGGGAATTTTCCACACACTGGTTTTGGAAGATAGGTCCAATTCTGAAAATGAACAAATGCAGAACAGTTTTCTCAGGACTTTGTTTTTGTGTGTGATGAGCCCATATCCATGTCCTAGTGGTACGCTGTTCTTTCCAAATTATTTTGGCCCATCTTGCCATGAATACATGCTTCACAGAAATGCTGTGAGCTGTAGTGTGGGCAGACTGAGAAAGCAATAAGTGAATTAAAAATTGTGCATACATTCTGTGAAATTACTATTGTGTTGTGTCACATTATTGTAATGTGTGACATTACACAATGAAAAGATGGTTGTAATGTAAAGCAAATTACTGCTCCACCGTGGTTTTGTTTGTGGCATTCATACAATTTCCAGTGTAACTCCTCAGTCATGGTTCCCTTCAAAACACTGATTTTTACTGTTTTCTTTTAGAAATTAGAGTCTTCAGTAAAACTGCTTAGAGCAAAATGTTGGCAGGAGAGTAGAAGTATTAGCAGTAATCCAAAATCACTATTATCAGTGATTCTGTTTTAAACAAACAATCAGTGAAACAAAAAAACTTCTGCCACTGATTTCTGACTGTGTAATGAAAATGCTGAGTGGATTCAGAACACAAGGTCTGGGAACTGCATGTTCCACTTTTATTTTCTTTTGATTCAAAAATCTTACCCCATGATCACAGAAGCACCACTTAAAATTCCTCCTGACCTTACCATACCTAGGTAACTTCTTTATAACTCATGCATCTTCCATCTCCCAGTCTCCAAGGGATAAATCCTGCATCTCAGGGGAATCCTGTACCAGAGGAGAGTATTTGGATAAAGAAAAAAATGGCAAAGGTTTTAGTTGTAAACTGCCTTATTCTTGTAATGCTGATTTTTACACTTACAGGAGGATTTTGAGCATTGTAATTTGGAGAGATTCTGTGCTCTTTAGCACTGGTATTTTTATGGGCCAGTGACTTTCCTATCACCACTCCCAGAGAGGGAGAGTCTCCTCCTAACTTGTTCTTCTGAGCTCTGCTGCTCAGTTGTGTGAGATTTTATGTCTCTATTTGGCACCAGTGTTATTCAATCATAGAATTAATGTTGGGGTTTGAATAAACTTCAAAGAAGTAATGCTGTGGTGGCTAGGAAATACGATACGAATTTTCTTTATTAATTTCTTAGAGCTGTCCCTGTAAAAGAAGCACCACTGAAAGCCCTGATGAATGATGCTGCATGCCTCAGTGCAACAGCAGTGCTTTTAAAGTATTGACTTCTGTGGCTCTTGTAAGGAGAAAAAAAACCAAACTACTTTGATATTCTAGAGAATCTGATAATTTTGATAACAAGATAGTTCCTAGTTTCCTTGCCATTCTGCCAGGAAAAAAACCAGACAGTAAGGCTTGGGAAAGTTTCAATACTGATTACACCACTAATATATTCTGGTTTTGCAATTTCTACCGTGTATAATCTCACACTGAGGTATGTATTTTTATTTTAAAAGACAGATATGGAAAGCTGATTTTGATTTTTTGTTTTTAGATTTATTTTGGAGTTTCTTTCTTACTTCTTGGTTCTGTGTTTCCCTTTGAAAACTGTTAGGAATACATCACCATATGAAAATGAATACCATGTTTCACATTTTAGAGTGTTGAACAATAAAATTATGTGGCCCATGGCATGAAATTCTATGATGTAGAACTTTGAATGTTGTAAAATTGCTTTGTAAATGTCCCTGGAGTCCTATTTTGCCGGACTACTTATTTCATGTTCTAAAAGCATAACCTGTATCAGGTTGCCTTTAAGCCTTGTAGTCTTCCCTATATATGACAGGGTTTTTTGCCTGTTATCCTTTGAGTAGAAAAGACCCTGTGACACTTGGGTTTCCCTTCTTGTGGGTTTGGGGATGAAGTTTGCTGTCCCCAGGGACAGAGAGCAGAGAGAATGCTCAACCCCTTAATGAGAATGATTTGACCAAAATCCAGAGAGAGATGGAGGAGGTGAACAAGGAAGAAGAGTTCACTGTCTCTTCTTGTTAAAGAGCTGGGTAGGACATTTAAAAGGCTCTCAGGGAGCAGGGGCTGGACCAACAAATCCTTGTCAGCAGTGAGGCTGTGCAAAGCTTGTCACAGGATGTTGTGAATGCAACACACAGCTTTACATGGATTCAGTGGCAGTTCAGTGATTGCTGCTCAGATCACAGATACAGAAAACATGATCTTCAGCTGAGTGAATATTAAAGTTTGATCCTGGAATCACAGAGCTTCAAGGGTAATTGGATTGTAATGCAGTCTGTGGTTTAGGCAATAAAACTTTGATAAAATTTAATTGATGAAAATAATTTTATAAGTAATTCATCTCTTCTTCACTTGTCCAGATCAGATGAAGCTACAGATGACATGACCAAAGTCAAAACAATGCATGAACTGATGAGAAACAGCACTCAGAACTTTAGCTGCTTCGTTGCTGGAAACCCTAAGTGCAACTTCACTACCAAGAGACCCTGATGTTATGTGATCACTGAGCACAGTTTGCAAGAATGGAAAACCAAAGGAAAACGAAAACTAATTGCATCTCATAAATAAAAGATTTCAAGATTCAGCTGAATCAAAAAACTATTCCAGCCATGGGAGAAAATGCAAGTTTTTGGGAAAGTCTGATATATGCACATCCTACATGTACCAGCTGGAAGCAAGAGGCAGAGGGATCTATCTACCACCTAGCCAGTATTTTCTTTGTCGTGGGCTTCATGGGTGGAAGTGGATTCTTTGGGCTCCTCTACGTCTTCAGCTTGCTTGGACTGGGCTTTCTCTGCTCTTCTGTTTGGGCTTGGCTGGATGTGTGTGCTGCTGATATATTCTCCTGGAATTTTGTTCTGTTCGCCATTTGCTTCGTCCAGTTCGTTTATGTTACCTACCAAGTGCGGAGTGTTGCCTTTGACAGGGAATTCCAGGAACTCTACAGTGCTCTCTTCCAGCCTCTGGGGATTTCCTTGACTGTCTACAGGAAGATTGTCCTGTGTTGTGATGCAGAAGTGGTTACCCTGGAGAAGGAGCATTGTTATGCCATGCAGGGCAAAACACCTATTGACAAACTGTCCTTGCTTGTGTCAGGCAGGTTGGTATTGCTTTGTTCAGGTTTTCTGCAAATGTCTTTATTTTCCTCTTCTTATTGAAAATGAAAGAAAAAAAAGGAAAAAGCCTGGTTTGTGTATTGTTTGTTTATTTTCCAGTACAATAGATTAAATATTAATGCAAGTAATATAAATATTAATAGGTTAAATACACTTGTCTAGGATAGTACTAGCATAAAAACACAAAGCACAGAATCTGAAATAGCATAAAGAAAAGAATTTTTTCAGGCTGCTGTATCATATCATTTAACAGGTTAGGCAGATAAAGGGAATAAATGTGGATTTTTAGTGTTCAGGTTATGGCTTTCTGTCTATCTACTGCATAGCTGATGAGCACAGCATCTGGCCTATTTTTCTTCACTAGTATCATGTGAAAGGGGACAAAAAGTTAGTTACAAAACTGAGATAAACTGTTTAATAGAGATCTTGACTTTGATATAGATTGCATTCAGTTGCTTTCAAGGGAGTGGGAGAAGGGTATTGATAAGGAAGAGAAAAAGACTTAAAAGTTCCCTTTCATTACAAGAGGATGTAGCTGAGCCTTATCAAGACGTGCAGACCTGGGTCTACAGTTACTGTATACTGTGGCCTGTGTTAGACCCTGAGGCAGCAAATCCACCTGCTTGTACTCCCTGTTTCCAGGAGAGGCTTCTGGCAGCCTTGCTGATGCTGTCCTGGAGGGAAACAGCAGCTTTTGTACTGTATGCAAAGCAGGGAGCAGTCCCAGACCACCCCAAGAGTAGATGGGACACCCAGAGGTGATGGACATGGACTGTCCTTGATGGGACACCTTGATGGGTGGGTGCTTTTTGCTGCATGGACACATGGAACCTGTGGGCAGCTTGACACTCAGCTGATTCAGGACTACCTGCAGTGAACAATAAGGATTGTCAGCAGTTTTCCAGAACCCTGGCTCACAGAGTTCTTGGGAGCTCTCTAGGAAGTACCTCATGGAAGTTGCTTTTGGTCTTACCAAAGGAGAGGTATCCATCCTTCTACATGCCCAGCCAGTTAGGGATCACCCAGAGTTCCTGCTGCCCTTCACCATGGGGTACAGGGCTGCTTGTGTGCCTTCAAATTTATTTGTTATTTAAAAAGTAGCAAGGAAAGGAAGTTCTTCTTTGGCATCTTCAGAAGGCCACAGCATTTACACAGAGATCCCACAATGCCAGGCTGTTCTTCTGGCTCCAGACATGGTCCTGTGGCCATGCAATTCCTATTTAACACGGAGAGAGGCCTACCTAACACGTGCCATGGGGCACTCCTGCTTCCCACTCCCAATTTTTCCACTTTGTTCTCTCTAAAATGAGTATTTGCCAAAACTAGAAGTAAATCCCACGGTTTTCAGGAGAAGCAGGTAAATGCTGTTATGGGCATTGGTCTTTCACCTCTTCAGTGCATGGTGGCCTTTTAATGGCAAAGCTTGTGCATCACTGCGCACACCTACCACAGAGAGAATAATGTGGTTTGAAAAAGGCCTGGAAAGATTTCCCTTTCAGTTGCATGATTGTCTTGTATTGTCTTTCAACTGGCTTGAGCAAGTTGGGTTCAAAAATATAATTAGGATAATTGTAATTGGCCATTGACTGCTTTTTCATGCTTTCAAAGCCATATTTGAATTCCTCAGACAATAGAAATAGCACAATCTTGTGGTAGTCATTGCTGATGTACAGGTAGTGCTAACAAATTAACACATCTTATCTTGGTAGGATCAGAGTGACAGTTGATGGGGAGTTTCTGCATTATATTTTTCCTCTTCAATTTCTGGACTCTCCTGAATGGGATTCACTGAGGCCCACAGAAGAGGGAATTTTCCAGGTAAAAGTTCAGGGGTTTGGGAAGTCCTCTTTTTCTGTTAGACTGTGCCTTGTTACAACAAACAGGGGTTTTCTAAAAGCCAGTCTGGGAGGTTTAGCTGGGAGGTAGGCTCTGTTGGCATTCTCTGCTGCGCTGATATTCAGCCCTGAGAAGCCAGGGTTCCTCAGGGTGGGAAGAAGCTGGTGCTGAAGAGGTTTCCCAGTGGGAGATGAGCCAGGGGAGGATGTGCCTGGGCCACAGCTTGGCACGGGTCACAGCACAGGACACGGTGTCAGCTGCGGTGTCCCTGCGCTGCTGTCACTCGCCTGACACGCTGGCTCCCATCCCTGCTGGATCTGATGTCTGCTGTCACGAGAACAAATGGCATTTGTTGAGAGCTTTCTTTAGACCTGCCTTTTCAGCTGAGGCTGCCAAGAGTGGAGCAGGGAATGCAGGGCTGAACGAGGGCATCCATGTGGCACTGAACAAGGCATGCCATGTGGCCACAGGCATATTGTCACTGAGGTTAACTAGATGTGATCACTTACTCCATAGCCAGTCACCTTTCTCATTTGTCTTTTGCATACAGTAACCTCCCACACAGAATCACAGAATAATGAGATTGGAAGAGACCTCTAAGATTGATTTAACCTCCCAGAGCTCTCTGGCTCGGTTAAAAGTCTCTAATTGCAGTAGACAGGTTCTGCTGGGAGAGGGGGGTGCCTTCTGAGCAAGGGCAGCAGCAGCAGCACTACCTTGTCACCTGGCTGTTCAATTCTCTCTTCTCCAGGTAACACTCACAGCAGAGACAGACTGTCGGTACGTGGCCTGGAGGAGAAAGAAGCTCTACCTGCTGTTCGCCAAGCACCGCTTCATCTCCCGCCTCTTCTCCATCCTGATCGGGAGCGACATCGCCGAGAAGCTGTACGCGCTCAACGACCGGGTGCACGTGGGCCAGGGCTTCAGGTACGACATCCGCCTGCCCAACTTCTACCACGTGGCGCTGCCGGAGCCGCCCCCGCTGCTGCCGCCGCCGCGCCCGCACCGCCTGCAGCGGGGCTCGCCGCGCCGCCCGCCCGCCGCGCCCGCCAACTGCGGCTCCTTCCTCGCCCCCTCCTAGGCAGGGACACCCCCTGCCCCCGGCACTCCTCGCCGCGCCGGAGGGAAACGGGAGCTGGCGGAGCAGAGAGACGGAAGCAGATGAAGCCAAATTTGACTGACAAGTGCCATTAACTCTTATGAGTAGAAAAGCTGCCCATTTTTTTAAAAGGCTGCAGAGTTCACAGGTTGGGCTAGTTGCTGCCAGGGTGGAGTTCTAAGCGTCTGTTATTGTAATCACCTGTCGTTTTCATTAACTACCTGTCGTTGATGGTTAAGAATTCCTCCTTTTGTCGAGTGGCATCCTGCTGCTTCCTGGAGGATGGCACCGAGACGGAAGGTGAAGAGGAGGAGACCTCGGAGTTAGCATGGAAATGACATCGGAGCCAGCATGCAACGGGAGAAGCCCCTCACCAAACCTAGCCAAAAACCCCTAAAAACAACGAGCCAACACAAAATTGACGAATCAAAGTGATGATTAGACGTGAGGAACAGAATCTAGTATCTGCTAAGACCCTTTTTACCCCTCACCCTAACCGATATATCGGCTAGACAGAGGGCATCGAATGTTGAACCAAAAAGTGGGGAATCTCCTGATGCGCTCACGAGGATGGAAACTGCGGCTCTGCCCACAGACCAGTGGGCAAAGCTGCACTCTTCCTCCTCCTTGGGGTCACTCCTGGGAGCAGTGGCAGTGTGAGTGCAGACCTGTTGGTTCTCCCCACCCGAGAAAGGTCTCCTGCCTGTGTTTATTTCATTAACCGGAGTAGGCTGAATTCTCTATCTCAAGCCAGCAGGTTGGCTTCTGCATTTTGACTGTCTGTGCAATATGTTTACTTTCTGTTGATACTCCTTCATCTCTTTTGTTTTGGAGTAGAACAAATCATAACAGTATGAGGTCTTATTGCAATTGTGATGGCCTCTGTTGGTTTTTTTTTGTTTTGTTGTTGGTTTGTTGGTTTTTTTTAAAGCAAACCCATTGTAATTATATTTTCCTCAAAAAATTTTGTCACCATGAAGTATAGTCAGAATAGTCAATGAAAACAACTAAGTTTTCATATTTCTATATTTTCCTAAAAAAATGTTGGCACCATGAAGTATGGTCAGAGTAGTCAATGAAAACAACTAAGTCATCTTCAAAATATAGCAACTGGTTTATAATGTTCTTTTTTATGCCATGTGAACATTCTCTCAATTTACGTGAATAATGTTGCAGAAAAAAAGACTAAGGAACGATTGCATTGAGTTTGTTTCTTAAAGAAATAGATATTAAAGATATTGAAATGCACAGCAAGATGGTTAAAAACCCAAACAAAGCAACAAATTGTGTCCCATAAGTAATTGGTTTCTCTCTGACTGTCCTTAAGAGGTAATACGTGAAAACAAATACAACTGTCATTGCTGGCATTAGAAAAATACAAGAGCTGTAACTGCTGCAAACACAGCTTAGGGAAATGTTGTGTAGCATTTCTGATGGAATGTGATGCTATAGGACCTGGGATTCTGCAGTGTCAGTGCCCTTTGTGACATGTACAATAAATAATGTTAATCAATCTACTGCTAAACCATTGGAGTTTGTTTTATAATATTCCTTTTAACTATGTTTGTCGGGAAGAGACTAAAACAGCTGCAGCAATAAATACAATTTTTAACTGACACATTCTTGTTTAGCTTCCAGAGTCACTTTTCTGTGCCTATGAAACTCTTTATTCAAAAGATGTTCTCTCCCTAATTCTGTGGTGGTTTAATGGCATAAGGGAGCCTCAGATTGCACTTCAGTAGGAGAGAGTTCGTTCCGACCCTCGGGGTCACTGTGCCTTTGAAGAGAAGTGTCCAAATGTCTTTGCTAACTCACCTTCCTGCTGCTCTGCCTGATGCCTGCCAGTAATCAAAAAGTAAGAAGCATTACTATTTTATGAGAATGGATTGCTGCTTGATATGTCTGGAAGTAGATAATATTTTTAATATTTTAAAATTGCTGGCTTGTTTGGTAGGATGACCCCTGTGTGCTTCTCTATGTGTGGGTATACACGTAAGTTCAGATCTTGTGAGTTGTTTCTGGAGGACTTAAAATGATGATACAATCTTACACTTGAAGGATACTCATGCTGTATGTATAAAAAAGCCATTAGGAGTGACATGAAACACGACCTGTTTGAAGGACATTTAGTGTAGAGCAGATAAGATTGTACAAGTTTTGCTTTTAGCTTTATGTTGCTTCCTCTGAGAGGAAAACCAGCCAAACATAAATACCCCAGAATGCAATATGGTAATCCCCAAATCATTCTCATAACCCTTCCAGGCAATGTATTCTGTATGTACTGTTTAATGCATGAAGTCCCTGAGACACAGAGCTACTTTGTCTTGGCCGAAAGAGAATTGGAAAAAATGCAAACAGTTCACTGATGGCTTTTAATGACCTGTTCAGATGATAACTAAGGCACAAAGTGCCAGAGGCTGGCAGCATGTTGTAAGGATGTACATCTTACAAACATAAAAATATTTTAAATGCATAAAAGAGATCTTGTTCTAGACTTAGGTGTAATAGAAATAATTTATTAGTGTTCTCCTTGGTTTTCTTGGATATTTCGGTTTGACCTATTTATTAAAGAAAAGTTGTCTTTACTAAATTCTGACCCTGCTGAAGTTAATTAGCTTGATCATCTTCACCTTAAAATAAGACCAAGGAGTCTGTCTTACCCAGTTTCTATGTCAAGCTTATGTATTCTATTTAAGCTGTAGCATACTGCTTAGAAAGATACTGGGGAATGATGGGTGCTTCATGACATACTTTGATAATTTTTTCTTTTTTGTGACTGTTGTATGCCTTGGTTTGTTGTCACACTTTCCAAACACAATCCTCTGTGATGCTTTTCTCTGCTGGAATTGGTTACTGTCAGAAATCTCTACCAGGACACGTCTGAGTCAATATCTGAACACACTCTTAGCTAATCTTGTTTAGGTGTTGCTACTGTGCTTTCTGGGCTTTGAGTCATTTTAAAAAAATTGTTTCTAGGTTTCCAGCATCTGTTTGAGACATGACTAGCAGAACATTTGAGCTGGAAAAATCAGCTGTAAAATAGATGTCTACAATAATATGAGTAGACACAAAAGGGCTGGAAGCAAGACAGAAGTTCTCTCTACCTCTGTTTTTATTTTCATCTGGACAGTACTTCTAAAACATACAGTGAAATATGCTCTGGAATGCGACTCATAAAGCAGTGTTTTGGGAGGGCTGCATAGTCTCCCTAAATGAAGACATGCTCAGGATGATGACAGTGAAATTAGACAAGTTTTGTGAGCTCATAAACACCCAGTCATTAGAGAGCTGGGGTTGCTCAGCCTGGAGAAGGCTCCAGGTGACATTTTATTGCTGCCTTTCAGTACTTAAAGGGTCTGCAAGAAAGATGAGGACAGACTTTTTATAGCAGAGCCTCTTGTGATAGGACAAGGGGTAGTGGCTTTAAATTCATTAATATATTTAAGGATATATTTAGATATAAGGAGGAATTTTATTATTATTTTGAGTGTGATGAAACACTGAAAAAGGCTGTCCAGAGAGATGGTGGATGCCTGGTCCTTGGAAACATTCAAATTGGATGGAACTCTGGGCAACTTGATCTATTTGAAGATATCCTCACTTATTCAAGGGGATTGGGCAAGATGGCCTTTAAAGGTCCCTTCCAACCCAGACCATTCTATGATTCTAGGATTATTTATAGCTTAGTAAACATTTGGAGCTAGATGAAGTTCTGACTTGAGCATCATCCAATTTATGCCCATGTTACAGCTCAGAAATAACTTAGTGACATGACCAGATTCCTTCATAATTGGTTTAAACAAGTGGATGCTTGAGTCCCTGCTGCTATCAGTGAGTCCTTTTCTTGATCCTGCAGTGATTCCCCTTTACTCACATTTTACATTTTTACCAGTTTCATGACCTTTTGTGGAGTTATGTCTACATTTATATGCTGCTATAGGTAAGAGTGGCAGAACCTGTGCACGTGATGATGTGGTCATTCACATTTGTGCACATGATGTGGTCATTCATCAGTTGATTTTTATAAATTTTTGTAATTATGTGGACATCATGTTGGAATTGCCCTCACAGCCTGCAGAAGGGTTCAAATTTGTATCAGGTAAGAAACTATGGCCTAGGACAGTCCAAAACAGAGGGGGAGGAGTAGAGGAAGAGACAAAAAAATTTCATACAAATTGTATCCAAGAGAGGTTTATTTCAAATTGGACTTCTGGCAAATTAGTTTTGGGTGCAACAATATGTAGTTAGAGCTTCAAAGCAAGTCTTGCCTACTAAGGAGCATGGGTCTGACCTTGCAATTCTTTCACTGTGTAGTATTTTAACTACTAATAGTGTAAGTACAGGTAACAGGTTCCATCTACAGAAACTATGGAATAACCAGAGGATACAGCCCAATGTACTGTTGTAGCTAATACACTATGCAAGGCAAATTTAAAGTGCTTAAAGAAACAGGTTATTTTATTCAGCTGCCTGTGATAACAGAGGCTGTGCTTTGTGGCTGAGGAGGGGCCATCCAGGATCTGTTTTCAGGAACTATTTTCCTTGCAACAAAGCAAATTATACACATAGAGATATGAGCTCTCCTAGGATTAAACTGGGGAAGATGAATACATGCTTGGATGATATTGCACAAATTTTCCATACCACAAAAAAAGACATATGCTTGTAGTAATTAAAAAATATGTTGATGCTACATTTTCAGGGAAAAAAGTGCTCTACAGATTTTGCTTATTGTGAGTGATAAATATAAGATATATTTGGTCTCAGTGTACATGAAGTATTAAAACACAATATTGTGTTGCTCAGGTGAGCTGATATTGCAAACCATGTGTTGAAAGTGAAACAAATCTGCAGCTCTTTATATAGAAGAAAACTATTTGAATAGGAAAGAAAAAATTAATATCTATTTGCTGAATTCAGACATGATCAGAGTAATATTTTTCTTTCTATTCCTGTAATAATTGAATGCATATTTTTCCTCC